AAGATATAACATGGGGGGTGACTGGTGATTAAGAGAAAAAATGGAATGGATGCTGGCCTTCGGCAAGTCTGCCACAAATGGCGGATGTGCAGCCCCTCCCAGAACCCTCAGGAATAACTAAGGAAGCCCTGTACTATTCCCCAGGGAGGGTTAAACACAGAGGCTGTGATGATTTGACTGTCTATCAAGGGGGGTGCTGGAGGCTCAGCGGTCTCCCTTTCTTTCTTGATCTCTCTCTCCTCTTCCTGCCTGCTCACTCCCACAGCCCTGGCTTCACACATGCGGTTCCCAGGATTTGCTACTCCTTCTGCAAACCCTTCTCAGGAAAAACCCTGGGTCCTGCTCCATACACCCAGCCCCATTCGAGGAATCCCAGAGCCTCTGAGATCATTTCAGTCATTGTCTTCACTTTATAGATAAGGAAACGGAGCAGAGAGGAGTTACACAGCAGGTTATCTACTTACTGGCGGATTACATGGAACCCTGGTCTGCTGTTTCCCACCCCATCCCGCACTCGGCTGGGGCCACGGGGTGGTGTCTACACACAGCTCACAGCTCGTCATTCTAAACCACTGGAGATGAGGGCAGGGTTGTTTCTGAAGGTTGAATTTTTCACAAAATTCAAACCTGTGGTGGTCCATAGATAAGGTGTGACGAGCGTGTTGAGGGGAGGCTAGGGGAGGAGGGCCAGGGCAGCGGCCCATACGCATCCCCAGGCCCAGTTGTTCCTCCCAGCCCTGGACATGTTGACTATTCCAACATCTCGACATCTCCCACTGCTCATGGCTTGTTTTTTCTTGTCTATCCTTATCAAAAACATGTGTTCTTTATATCATTACAGAGCAAAGAGAATGTTGGACATGTGCTGCATAAGGGACATTTCAGAGTTCATGTGTGTTCAGCCTGTCCCTCTTGAAGTCAAGAGTTGGGGTAGATGCCCAGACACACTGCTCCACAGCCTCTTGGACATCACCCCTGAATAATAAAGGGATTTCTGGGTGCGCACACATGGCAGGAGGCGCCCAGACTTGAGGCGGCTGTTGTGATGGCCTGAGCTGGAGTAATTTTTACATGTTTGAGGCAAAAGATGGGGCTTTTAGGGCACGGGGTGCTGACGTTGGTTTTCTTCAATTGTGGGTTCTACAGGACTTCTATTTAAAGTGTCAAGAAAGTGAGTCAACCTTCTGTGGTCCCCACTTCCTTCATGGTCCTCAGGGTGTCGCAAGCACATGACTGTCTGTACAGATGATGCACCTGGAATGGGGCAGGGCGTTACGGGAAGTCTGTTGGGTGGGGGTACACAGGACCAACTCCTTCCCAAGTATTCCCAACAAAAAAAAGAAAGGAATGTGTTACCGCCGGAGAGAAGCGACAGCCACGGGGCCAGTCCTGGGAGGTACAGGCGGAGGGGGAGAGCCCATGACCATTTCAGGAAGCTGGGAAAACCTGTAGGCCTGTGAAAGGGACAAGCAAATAGAGGGCGATCTGTTAAAACCCAGAGCCAATCAACAGACGGGTTCTTATTTAAAAGGGAAATTTTCTGAGGGTCACTGGAAAGGGTCACTGTCCTCAAACTTTTCCTATAGATCTTCTTTAACGGGTTTCCCCAGCCCCTTCTTCTAACTCATCTCCTACCACTCTTCCTTTTGCTGGGGCCACTGTAGTAACAGAGTCCTTTAATTGCTCTTTCCCAAGGTGTCCTGGGCAATTGAATACGCCAAGTTCTTTCCCACCTGGGCTTTTGTACATGCTGCGCCTTCTCCTCAGTGTGCTTTTATCACTGCTTATTTATTATCTGCCCCCGACTAGACTAATGCGGGCAGGGGCTTTGTTGTCAGGTATATCCTCATGCCTGGAGCAGTGACTGGTATATCACAGATGATCGATAAATATTAGATGAATAAATGAATGAACCATTGATTGCGTTTTACTCTCTCACTCATAGAAAGTAGGTTGAGTGGGGGAAAGCAATGGGTTTGAAGTCAGGAGTTAAGGGTGGTGGACCTGGTTTGTTGATGAATAGACTTTATATCCCTCGTCAAATCAGGTGACCTCTCTGGGCCGCAGTGTCCTCTTCTGAAGTGGGGCAAGGATGCCTTGCTCCGAGGGGTGCTGACAAAGATCAGGCAGGTCAGTGTACGTGTAAGTATTTTGCAATCTATAAAGCACTATTCAAAGATAAAGGATTGGAACTGTCCTCCAGTGAAGACTTTAAGCAACACTTGAGGGCATAAAAGGACAATAGTCAGTGACAGACAGGACCAGAGAGCCAGGCTAGTGCCTTCTTTAGCAAGAGAAAATCTAGAAATGCTCTCTGGGAAAACACAGCTTAACTTGTGCTTCTCATTCATTCTTTTTCTTTAAGTATCATGACCTGCCATCTCTTTCTCAAGGAACCAGATGACAAGACTTTAAACCTGACAGCTTCAGGACTAAAAGCAGCAGTAGAGGGAATCCATAAATAGGATTCTTTAAACTGAATGAGTCTTCTCCCTCCAGCATTATGTCGGGGTACATACTTGTAAGGGCCAGCCCACTAAATAACAGCTAGGTCCTGGGGAAAACGTACTTTTTAATGGACCATGAGAATTGTGAGATGTAAGGGAAATATCAAGGACCCCACCCTTCCCCGCTCCCACACACGTGTACCTCAGCAAACTAAAATAAAACCATGAGCTGAAACTAGACGTGGAAATAGTGACTAGTAAGCAGATAGAAAAGGTGGGGTTGCCTGGAAGACATAAATGACATATTAGCAACTGATTCAGAGATTAAGCCTAGGGCAGGGCAAGGTGAGGCAGGTGAACCTCAGACACTCACAGCCAATCCAGTCCCTCCCAGGGAGGGAGGCTCGTAGTGCTCCCAGGCTCAGGCAGAAGCAACTATAAGTCCTCTCTGGGGGCAAGTATCCCTAAACTAGGGGTTAGGAGGATTAGCAGAGATGAAGATGAGGCAAACAGGAGTTCATTGTCAAAGACTAGAAAACATGAGTGAAAGTTGGTAGGAAAAGCAAACAAGAGATTTAGATCTTTAAGGACTTTAGAGTCTGAAATATCCAGATGTAAAATAGAATATAACAATGTAAGAAATTAAAAAAAAAAAAAATCTGACCAGACAGAGATACTATCAGGAATAATCTGGATGTGAGGGCGATCTGGCTGCAACATCTGTCACCCCATTGATTGCCAGGGTTGATCTGGCTGATCTGGCTGGCTAGGCGGGTGTCCCCTTCCTCCCTCACCACTCCATGTGCGTCCCTCCCGCAGCTGCGTGCCCGGTCAAAGAGGACAACCTTCCTTGATAGAGAAGAGGGCCATTCCTCAGTCAAGGGTATACAAGTAGCTGCGCTCCCCTGCTAGAACCTCCAAACAAGCTCTCAAGGAATAATCTGGCAGATTTGAAAAAGAACAACGACAACTTTTTGCAGTGAAATGTAATGACTGAAATGAAACACTCGACATGGAAGAATTAAGGAACAGATTCATCAGATGAAGATAAAAATAAACCAGAAAATGAAATTGAGGAAATGATTAAGAATGAAGTACAGAGATACAAGGAGTTAGAAAATATAAAAGAGAAGTAAAAGATATGGAGGATGAAAGAAGAAGGTCTAATATGCAGCTAATCAAAATGCCAAAGGAGAGAAATTGGAGAAAAGAGAGGCAACATTTGAAGAAACAGTGACTAAGAATTTTCTGGAATTGATAAAATCAATAAATTAATCATTTCGGGAAGTACAATGTATCCCAAGTAGGATCAGTAAAATAAAACAATTGGAGACATTGTAGTGAAATGGCAAAAATACCAAAGGCAAAGAGATCTTAACAGCAGCTAGAGAAAAAGGCATATCATCTATGAGGGAATTACAGTTTGACAGATGACTTCTTAACAGCACCCAGAAGACCACAGAATGCAAAGTGCTCAAAGAAAATAACTGTCAACCTACAAGTGTATCAGCAATATCAACTTTTCAGAACAAGAATGAAAGAAAACACCTACCCAGATCTAGAGTTACTAAGTCAATACGGAAAGCTATATTACCATGCCGCATTTTCTTTTTCTTTTTTTTTTTTTTTTGAGCACCAGTAAACTATGTATGCTAAAGCAGTTTCTAGGGAACCAAAATCTGAAGTTCCACTAGACCCTAAGCTCCTTGGTGTTCAGCAACTCAGTCTCTCTCTTCCTGGTACTCCTACCTTACCTAGCAAAGCGCTTTGCACCTAGCGGTGCTAAGTAACTGTTTGCCGAATGAATGCCAAGTGAACTAGGAATCCGAAGACCCAGGCTCTAGTCTTGATTCAGCTATTCGTTTTGTGTAGATACGTCATTTAATCTCTCGGCACTTCATTTTTTGACCCCTTGTGAAAAAAGGCACGGGCGTAGCTCATAGGTTTCAGACAAGTATTTCTTTACCCACGAAACCATTTTGACATAACCAGAATACATAACCAGATTAAAGCAGAGCTTCTCTGGTTGAAGTTGGTGGTGGTGGTGGAGGGGTATCCTGACGAATTTGGCTCTGCGCTCACCTGCACGATAACACCATAGAGAATTCCCTGAACCCTAAGGTTTTGCACTGAATTTGAAAATCATTGTCCTGGACGTCCTTCCAGCTTTGCATTCCATTATCATCTATAAACCAACAAGTAAGGACATGCCTTTCCCAAAATACAGAAAAGGGTTTATAGCCCCTCTTCTCTCTTCTGGCCTTTCATGATATTCAGCAGAAGAGACGACCTATTTTTAGCTCTGGTTCTTGGAAGGCTTATTTTCTAGTTAATACAGTTTTCCAGCTGAGATCAAGCTTTCTATGCCTGTGTCTGTCCCGTAGCAGTTCACCAAAAGAACTGATTAGAAGTTTTGAACTTTTGACAAGTACCAAGGGCATTCCTTCTTTGGAAGATTTTTTCTGGTACAAAGCAATACTGCACAGGAAGTCAGATGTCTTCCAAGGCCTCAGGAACCATAGGAGGTTCAAGCTGGAAAGAGCAGGAGACACTGAGATTATACCCCTTACCTGTTAAAGGGGGACACTGAAGCCCAGAGAGGTAAACTGACTAGTTGAAGGTCACAGAGCCAGTTAAGGGCACTGTCTTGCAATTCTAAGTTAAGGGTGGCATGGTACAGAGGGCATGGATTCGAAGTCAGACAAAACTGGGGTCAAGTCCTGGCTTTGATCCTTATCAGTTGCTTGACCTTGAGCAACTGACCTTCTCCGTGTTGGCTTTCTCGTTAGATGATGAAGGGCACAGCATCATACCCTTACTTTAAAGGTTGTTTGAAAGACTCATTTTGCATGTTAATGTACTATCTAGCACACAGTTGGTACTTGATAAGTGATAGTCTCTTCTTTCTGAGACAGGATAATATTTTGATATAGTCAATGTAGTAACCAAGACTTTTTTCCCCAATAGTTTGTTGAATCCAGGGCCCTTCCCCTACCTCAAGCAGTGACAACATTCCACCTTTCTGTCCCAGAGAAGCAGGGCCACAGCCACTGAAGATGTTCCAAGAGCCAGTTCTTATTAGAGTTTCAACAGCCATTGAATTGCAAAGGTTTAGGATTCTATCAAATATCTAAGTTCTAAAGCACTTAAGGCCTAAGATCAATGCCAAAACAAGAGATTTGGAAGAAGCAGGGTACATTTAGACTACTCTGCCCCTAGATTAGGTAAACACCCTTTGGATAGGAAGGAACAGAGAGTTGGAAGGAAGCAAGAGAGTTTAGATGTTGATGGGTCTGGAGAAGGGGCTCTGTGTCCTGCCTCAATCTGAGGGGAGAAGATGGGAGAGGGAGAGAAGAGGATATAAATACTGTAAACATTTTGGGAATCTGAAAGACAAAGGACCTGTACTCACTTTTAGAAAAGCCCAGAATCAGCAACAGCAGAGAACTCCCCCACCTCCCCGAGGATGGAGGGAGACAGAGAGAGAGAGAGAGAGAGAGAGAGAGAGAGAGAGAGAGAGAGAGAGAGAGAGAGAGAGAACATGCTTCAGCATGGGAGAAAGGGAAGGAGAGGTCTAGAGAGAGCTTGTTAGCAGTAGGACCAGGATACAGCTGTGCTCTACCTAGCATCTAACATCTGGAGACTAGATGGAAACAAAGCCTTCTCAGGGACACCAGCCAGAGTAGTGAGATGAGGACAAACTGGGACTAGATACTGAACCCTTCTCACCGCCCCCTCACCATGCTTTGCACCCCCTCTGCCCCCCCCTTTTTTTTGCTTAATCTAGGGATAGAGAAGGAGATCCTGAATTGACTGACACTGAGCTTCTGGCATGTGGAGAAGATTATATAAAAATATAGAAAGTTACATGTCTTACACACCTGAGTTTATGGGTTGAAATAAGTATTCACACTTCCTCTCCTCCCTCCCTCTCCCTTCCTGCGTAGCTTTCCTGTATAAGCTATGGTTTTTACTCACTCAAATGATGTTTCTAAACTTAGAGGGGTATGCATTTGCCAGATGTTGGGTACTCAGTTGGTTTTCAAAAGAGATTTCTCGGGGCAGCCCAAAAGCAAAGGTCCCATGCCCCGTCTGGCCCAGGTATGACAGAGTGACAGACTTCAATGACTCCTGAGATTTGGACAATGCCTGGGGTAGACTCTCTCCCAGTGATCCGACTTCATCAAACCACCAATGAATTCGGTGTAACCTGAGGTAGAGGGAGCCCAGTAATAGCTGACATTGAATTCCCCACACACCTGGAGCTCAGAACAGATTCAAATTTGATTGGGAGAAACACACAAAGTGTAATATTTCTTGAACCCAAGTACTGAGGTGGATGCAAATGCATACCTGCTATGTCTGCATATCTCATCAATAGGGAGGGATCTTTTTGTTTTGTTCTGTTTTTGAAGGGAGAGGAGGAAAAAGAATGTAGAATTAATTTCATGCTAATAGAGATGTCTCTCTTATAAGGGGCAGTGACAGGAATGGACAAAATCCCCTCAAACTGGGTAAGCTTCCTTTTGAGAAGATCACACTCTCAAGTTTTGGGGATTCAAGTTCTCATTTGAGCCTGAAGGCCTTCCCTGTGGCTTGCTTGGCCAGAGGGGTAGAATGAGTGTGGGCTCTGAAGTTAGACAACTTCAGGTTCTAACTCCCGTTCTGCCTTTTATAGCTGTGTAACCTTGAGCAAGTTTCTTTACTTCTCCAAGTCTGTTTCCTCACTGAATACACAGGGAGAATAATACTGAACTCCTAGGGTGGTTGTTAGATGAGAAGAGATAACGTCTACACAGCACTTAGTGTCAGGTACACCACGGGAGCCCAACAGATGGCGACTCTTACTGTCATTATTATTATTACCGTTAGTTCCACCTATAAAGCCTCTAGTGGGGAAGATGTTTTAACCCCACTGGCTTTCTCAGAATCCCTTACTCTGATACCAATAGGAAGGCTATAGGACATTTTCCTTCTACTTGGCACAGACCCATTATGGCTGCGAGCAAAATTCAATTGGTCATTACATGTCGAGTCTACTTTTTTCACAGATTCAAGGGGTAAAATATGATCGAGAGTCTCCTAAAATGCAGTGCAGAAATCCCAAGCTGCCAGCAGTAACCTTTTCTGTGCTATAAATGCCACTGGTCTGGCCTTGTGCATTTAAAACCACCAGCTTCCAATTATCCTCTGGCAGAGTTCAAAGCGCTTACTTTTGGGAAGCTGAAAAGTAATCATAGTTATCATTCTAAATTGCCACCTTTTCTATTGATTTTCTTATTATCATAGCACAAGGAGGCTTGGCAAGAACTTGGGTTAAGAACCACCATTTCTACTGTGTATTGTTAGCTATTTTCTCCTTTCATGAAAATAGGGGCCACATGTATTGTTGACAAAAGGAAACTTTAATAACAAAAAAATTGCCTTTGATATAACCCATCCCTGTTGTGTTATTTCTCAAGCCTTTTCTATTTTCGGGTGGCCTCATTTAAAAAGTATATCATGCTGATGTTTTTGCGCTTCTTGGCACAACTGCCAACCTCAAATTCTAACAAATAGAACCATCTAAGTTTTCATATGTCCCATGATGAGATTTTTATATGGTTTTGTCAAATCAAGGCACAATGAATGTGGCTTGTGGCATCTTCTTGACTGTCATTGGTTGGAAGATTCATCTAGGTCATTTAAGTTTTTCTCTCTGAAACCTAAATCTCTTTACAGATCCCCAAAATCTGGCCTCCAGTCAGAGGGGTCAGTCAAGTTGTTCTTGAGAATCATCTTTAAACACAAGTGCAGTTTCTCTGGGACTCTGAGTTGGGGCACCCAGAGCGTACTCTTACAGGAATTTCACAGGGCAGGAAGAGGAAAAGATGTAGTTTCAGAACTGTCAGGCAAAAGGGATATAACTAGTAGAATCCAATGAAAAAGAGAATATTTTTATAATAATGACTACCATTTTTTGAATCATTTGATGTGCTAGGACTAGGTACCATACAAAGCACTCTAATTAATAACAGGCAAACAAGTATTGGGCGTTTACTATGTGTCAGGACTGTGCTAAGCATTTTACATGAATTTCATCCTCATGACAGTCCTCTTATCACCATCGTTTTATGGCTGAGGAATCCGGGCTCAGGGTAGCAGTCACTGGCTAAGGTCATTCGGCTGGCAACTGCCATTCTACTCCGGGCTGAGGGAAAATCCAGGGACATGGTCAATGTATGGAGATCAGGAAGTATGAATCATTGAAATTAAGGTCAATGTGAATCAATATGGACTAGATACAGGTAACTTCTCTCAGGGGACAGACACTTGAGAAGTCTGTATAAACGTGATAAGATTGGGAGTTTTCTAAATCTCAGTGTGAAAATCCCTTCGTCTCCCATAAAGGTGGGTATCAATTTAATGGACAATTAGTAAAAATTATAGAAACTGTAATAGGACCGTCTTGGGAAAGTATTTTAAGGTGGTAGATTTATAAGGCTCGGTGAGAATCTAACTTTCTGAAAAAAAAAAAAGTTTCGATTCTACACTGATGGGAGCATGGCTGGTGGTGGCCCCAGAGTTCCTGACACGCTTCTAGAAGGCAGCGCTTCTTGAGCGTATCCAGCAAAATTCCCTGCTAGCAGAGGCAGAGTTGTATTCCTAAGATCTGAGCATTGCCCCTAAGTCTTCTATTTTACCTTAAAAATAAGAAGAATTTTACATTAATCTACACATATCTTAGAAAATGGAATGCAAAAAAGATGCCCTGAGTTCACTCTCTTTCCTTTATTGACTGTACTCTCTGGATTTGCATATCACAGACTGAGAAAGATGACTTTAAACAACCAGTTCTTCGATAATGCCTTTTCCCAAATTGGCTTTTACTTCATGTAAGACCTTGTTGACCAGCAAGCAAATATGCTGGCCCACGTGGTCATCCAGCTTCTCAGTGCTGGTTTGGGAGTTAGTATTCTTAATAATAGAGCAGTTGTGAGCTTAATCAGCATGAGTCACAGTCCCAAGATTTAATCACCCTGGAGCTAACAAACAACATAGAAACTCTGCACCTCCTAAGTCCCTGCAGTGATGACGACCCCACCCAAGCACAGCCACCCTTGCCTCAGACGTTCAGTTTGAAATAAACTTTGGTCTCTCCCACTAAAGCTTAATCAACAGGGAAAGGTTAGGCTAGAGAATGACAATCAAAGAGAGGGCACCGACAGAGAGACAGAGCGGCAGGATTTGGAGCAGTGTCCAGGAAAGACATCTCAGTGATCCAGGGTGGGGAGGGAGCGGGGGGTGCAGGGAAGGGGATCTGCAGCGAAGAACAGTAAGGAAATGCACAAGTGTACAAACTATATTAGTCAAATAATAGAAACTTTTTAAAGCACCAGTGTAGTGTGGACTTTGAGGGGGCAGGTTGGGGGGTTGATGTTATCATAAAGCTCCACAAGCCCATAGGTGTCCCAAATAGTCTATTGCAAATGAAAGAAATTAAACAGATGGAGAGGCAATGTAACATAGCACAAGGCAGAATAGCTGGTTAAGAATGTGGACTTTGGCGCCACACTGCCTGGCCTTGGGTCCTAGCTCTGCCCCTTGCTGGTTGTGTGACTTGAATAAGCTCTGTAACCTTAGTTTCCTCATCTGTAAAATAGAGATAAAACTAGTATCTGTCTCAGAGGCTTGTAGTAAGAACTAAATAAATGAGAGGACGTACATATGACACCTAGATCAGTACCTAGCAACAGTGCAACACGCAATGAATGTAAGTTTTATTATGTAATTACATAACACAACAATTTATAAAGCTCTATTCATGAATAACCCTTGGGGATAGGCCATTAAATATTACAAGGGTAGAATCTATAATAAAGCATTGTCTATTGTGGTCTATGGCTCATAAAACTAAGTCTGCTTTTTAAAAAGATATGTAGATGCTACGGTGATGAATGAAATGCAAAACTAATTAAAATTGTTAACATCATGGAAGCTTTTAGTCATTGAATGCTTTCTCGGATACTCAAGTGTAGTTACCACTAAATGAAATAACCACAACTAATACTTCTATAGCATTTACTATGTGCTCAGTGTTCTTCTAGTACCTCACACATATCAACTCTCTCAATCTTTACAACGGCCCTAGGAAGTAGATCATTTTTCTTATTTATTGATTTTACCTGTAGAGAATTTAAGTAACATTCCCAGGTGACAAAGCTAGTGAGTGGTAGAGCTGGGATTCAAAGTCAAGTCACCTGCCTCCGGGGCTTCTGCTCTGAACTACACGGGCTACACGGGCCCCTAACATGCAGCTCTGCGGTGCGTACTGACATTTAAAGTGAGTCCTCACACCTGGAAATGTAGGAAACCATCAGTGCGTGAAGAATGAGGTCAGCCCTTCGCAGGAGGGATAACAGGAAAGGCAATTCATCTTAAAATGTATTACGGTTGGACGTAGGGCTTCCTGTGCGCCTGTGCCCACAGGACTAAAGGCTTAGGCTTGGCTCATGGGTGGAGGATGGGATGAGAGCCCAGCAAAGTTCATCTCCAAATCCCAAGGTGACATAATCACTGGAAGTCCCAGCTCTGAGAACCCTGTTGGAACGCCTTGTGTGGGAATGACCTCATGATGGCAGGTGGGTGGGACGTCTGACTTACTGGCCGGGGCAGACTGTACTGGTACATTTCTGGGCGGTAGGTCGGCACCCACTGCACCCCAGCCCTGGGCCGTGTCATGGTCCCTGGAGCGCTGGTCACCACCTCCGAATAGGGCAGGTGCTGAGTTGAGCCGTAGGCCTCCTGGTGCCGGCTCTGGCCTGCATGGCCCGCGGATGCCAGGCTGAAGGCCTCCTCCAGCAGCATGTGCATCTGTTGCCTGACCTCATCGATGGAGGGCTGGGAGCTCAGCGTGGAGGTCTCCGAGTGGCCTTTCACCTGTCTCGACCTGGCGTAGCCCCGGGGCTCGTTAACTCTGTCAATGTTGGTTTCCTCTATGATTTCAGGCTCAGTCTGTGGGAGCAAACAAACACCCATTAATGTTAATTTCCTTCCCATTAATGTTGCCTGTAGTGTACTGAAAATGTTCAGCTTGGACAGGTGATATTTGGCATATGTGCTAATTTGTTACATCCTGGATGTCCTATCCAGGAATTCACATGACGGCGATAAGCTCTGTATTATCGGTAGGGCACAGCTTTCCCTGTGCACTTTGGCTATCCACGTCGCAGGCTTTGCTAATTAGCGTAATGACCACGAGAAATGTCTCTCCATTGCCAACATGGACGGTGTTCGCTAAAACCTTTTAGAGACGTTCTCTGCCCTTATGCCTTTTAGGTAAAGGAATCTAGAGAATTCCGTAGTCTACACCACATAGGTTGGTGCTCTAGATTCCAGACTAATTCTAAATGGTCCAGCCATCGGTTAGGGAATTGCTGGTTGCCTGATGCCAGTTTCAGAAAGAGTAACAAAACCCTGCCTCTAGAGTGCTAATCTCAAGGTGTGATGTACACCGATTCAGAAGCCTGGGGGGCAGGGCTCAGCAATCTGTGCTTAACAAGCCCCGCAGGGGATTCTGATGCCTGCTCACGTCTGAGACCCATTATCTTGAATGTTAACGTTCTCCTGCCTTCTTCCAGTGAACCTTTCGTTTAGGGAATAGCTGCAGTATTTAAGTGGGCACAGAGCTAGGACTTCGTCAGCTTCCAGAGCAGGATGCATGGACTGTCTTATGCTTGCCTGCTAAAGAATGCTTATTTACTAAGTCATGGCAGATTTTGGTCTGAGACTTGCTTTTGTTATACCTTGATGGTGAGGGAGTGGGAGAGTAGTTAATCCACGGTCACTTTAAGTATGCCATGGCTACCAATGTCTGCTAAAAGAACGTGAGACTTCTGAAAAGATACATTGGCATAGGTCAGTTTGCCACCCTGCTCTCCATCCATCACATACATGAGTACAGTGGTGCCCTCTTATCCGCGGGGGATACGTTCTAAGACCCCCCACGGATGCCTGAAATTGCAGATAATACCGAACCCTATATATACACTGTTTTTTCCTATACATACATACCTATGATAAAATTTAATTCATAAATGAGGCGCAGTATGAGATTACCAACAATAACTAATAATAAAGTAGAACAATTACAACAATATACTGGAATAAAATTTAAGTGAATGTGGTCTCCCTAATAACTCATCTGATAGCCTAGCTGGCTATTAAGTGACTAATGGGTGGGGAGCGTAACAGATTGGATACACTGGACAAAGGGATGAGTCACATCCAGAGTGGACGGAATGGGACAGTGCGAGATTTTATTACACTACTCATAACGGCAAGCGATTCAAAACTTATCAAATGTTTATTCCTGGAACTTTCCATTTAACATTTTTAGACCACGGTTGACTTCCGGTGACTGAAACCATGGAAAGTGAAACTTCAGATAAGGTGGGTGGTCACTTCAGAAAAATCAGAAAATACAGATAAGCAAGAGGAAAAAAAACTCCATTAACATTTGGTATATTATTCCACTCCCGAGCCTATCTGAGTGTGTATGTACATTCCTCCTCCATACACACGCACCCATTTGAAAAGATTGGTGTATTTATACCCTGGTTCTGGATGCTTATTATTATTTTACAGAGTGAATATTCTTCTACCTGGGTTCCATAGTTTAACAGCTGTGTAACGCTGGGCAATGTCTTAGCTTAGGCTCCTCCTAAAACAGAGCCTGAGACATGTTTATATACAGATAATTTATTTTGGAAAATAATTCTAGGGTATAGGAGTGGGGCCTAGGATGAGTAAATTGGGGATAGAAGAAATGCCAGTCAAAGGTGGGGACTAAATTAGTAACTGCTGTGAGCACTGTGGCTTACTCCCACTGGGGACCCTCCAAGAAACTATGTAGAATGCATGTAGGATTGTATAGCGAAGTTTCTTCCACTAGCTCTAGTCCCCTGTTAGATAAGGGTTGTCCTAAAGATGTCCTTGCCCTCTGAAATCTGTGCAAGTGCCAGATGGGCGGAATGGGCTCCCACAGGTGTCCCACTGAACAGTGTGGCAGCTAAGCCTCAGGGCAAAACGAGAGATTAGGGACTGCTAAGGTGACACAGCCAAGCTGTTGCTGTGCAGGGAAGATGACTCAGCAATGGGCACATATCACAGCAATGGCCAGATCTAAAAGGTGTGCGGAGAACATAAAGAACAGGGCAGAAAAGATATTCCAACCAGGAAAATTACTTAACTTTTTGATGTTTCAGTTTCCTTATCTGTAACATGAGGATAAAAATAAGACCTGCCTCCAAGGGTTTTATAAGGATTAAAAAATACAATATATGTAAAGAGTTTAGAAAAGCAGTATATGGTAAAAATACGATAATAGTAGATGCCATCATCATCATAATCATCATTACTACCACTTTTATTAATTCGACTGTACATATTTCTCATGTAATGACTGTATAAAGCACTCATATAAGAATGAGCACAGCAAGAAAACATCATTAGGGAACTCATTCATAAAGAGGAGACCTTCTCTTTACAATCTATATATGGAAGGTCAGAACTTTGTTATTTTTCACGTCTAAAAGTTTTACTTTTCTTTAGTATTTACTATATGCTCATTAGAGAAGAATCAAAAATACAGAAAGCACAAAAAAGAAATTAAGACATTTCCTGTCATCACCCAGAGTTAGGGCTTGGCTATAGCTCAAGATCAAAAGACAAAGTCCTTGTCGACCTTCAAATCCAGATTTATCAACAAACATCTCTACAGTAAGTAATTTAGAATACTATTTTTATATTAACACAAGCAAAGATAGATTATGGAGTAGAATACAAAATTACCTTTATGACAAAAAAACAGGAACTCAGAGACATTTCATGTCTGGGTGGGTGCATGCCTGCAAACCCTGGGCTAGGGGTACACTGGGGCTTTTCTGAACTGGGGTTCTTTAGGAAAATGTATTTCCTGAAGGCCTGGTGACACCTTCTAGGGTAGCGAATACAGCTTCTGAAAAACATTTTTTTCACAATACACAGAATATTATGAACTGAATTTCAGAGCCTGAAGGGACTTTAGGAGACCATTTAATTCAAGCCCATTTTTCAGATGAGGAATTTGGGTCCTCTAGCCAAAGTCATGCAGAGACGCCAGTGGCAGAGCCTGGCTCTCCTAGCCCCTGCCCCTTGCATGTTCTGCTGTACCACACTGCCTCTTACATTTCCGTGTCAGTGCTGGTTGCTACCCACACACTGCCCTTCCTCCCTACATCTCAGTCTCCATCATAAATAATGGATGCTTAATGCTAAACTATTCCCAGGTGGAAGATTAATGGCACTGGGGTTAGCTATGGTTTTTTTTCCCACCCTTGAACTGTGCTATGCATTTCCAGTCATACTAGTGGATTTTTATTACGTGAATTTATAGTTGTGCCTTAAGCAGGGCAAAAAATATACTTCTTAGCAATAATTGCCTACTTTCCCATTCTCCCAGGAGCCTTGCAGTGGAGCTGGCTGGGTTGGGGGCATTTCTGAGAAAGGTTGGTAGAGAGATACTACCTCTGCTAGGGATGTGGAGATACTTTCTCCAGGATCCCACTGCATCTACCCCATGACACACCAATGGAAATTAACCTCTGCTTTCCCCCATAGAGTTTCCATTTTGCATGGGCAGGTTGGAGAGGAGGCTCCCCTTAACTGGAGAACCCAGAGTCATAATCCAAGTATGACCTCAACAGGTTTGGTCTACAGAAGTGTTTTCCCATTGTTCTCACTTGGTTTTTCAGTTTCTTGACATTTGTAAATGAAAACAAGACAAGCTACCATTGTTCCCTGGGCTTCCCCCTCATAACACCTGATTTGCTTATTTAATGTCTGTCTTGCCCAAGTCTGGATGCTCTGTGAGCTCATCTCACCTCTGTCTTTCATGAGCTTAGCACAAGGCACCTGACATTCAATAAAGCTTTGTGAAACTGAACCAAAATTAAAAAAAAAAACAACCTGTCCAATTGCCCAGGGTGTGGAATTTGAGCTTAAGATAAAGGGCCCACTTTCCCTAACAAATTTCCTCCAATGCTAATGAGCCACACTGCCACAGGCAAGTCACATGAGCTCCCTGAGCATCAGCATCCTCATCTGTAAAATGGAAGAGTTGAACTACGGTCTGTGAAGTCCCTTCTGGTTCTCACGTTTACTGTTTCTTGGACTCCATCTGCTCTACAGGGTCCAGATTTCTCTACTATCATCTTTCTGATGTCTACCTACTCATGAAAGGATTCCACCTCCCTCCTCGCCTTGAAACACGTGAGCGCTAATAAGTTTGTTCTTTTACTCAGCAGGTAATTATTGATTTCAACCCCATGCCATGCCCTGGGTTGAGAGTTGTGAATACAACAGTAAGTTAGTGACCCAGCCCTCAAGGAGCTTCCAAGCTATAGGAGGAGACAAATAACAACAACAACAATAACAATAGCAGCTAACATTTATTAGAAGCTTAGGAGCCAGACACTGTTCTAAGTGTTTTATACATATTCACTCTTTTCCTTACAGTAACCTCTGAGGTAAGAACTAGGATTACCCTCATTTTACAGATGAAGAAATTGAGGCATTGAAAGATCAATGATACATAATTGGTGGGGCTGGGATTTGAACCCAAGGAGTCTGATTCCAGCAACCAGGCTCTTATCCATGAGGACAAAGACAAACAGACCCATTACCATACCACAGATATGGGCTCTGACAGAGGAAGGAACAGACTTCTGTAATCAGGAATACCACTATTAAACATTTATTGAGATAATCTATCTCATAGATTACTATAAGGATGAAAAGCATCGATATGTAAATATAAAGTACTTAGAGGAGTGTCTAGCACATAATCATTTAATAAATATTAGCTGCTATCATAATTGTTATTTACCTCCTCTTGTAGACTGGGAGGGAGCTTCTTGAGGGCTGGGTCAGCGTCTTATCATTATATTCACAGCTTCTAATCCAGGGCCTAGCCG